GCGCGCTGCGCACGGGATGGGGCATAGAACGAGATGATATTGCATACAATACCTTCGCCTCCAGTTCACCCTAAGTAAATTCATCACTTATCTTCTTGATACAAAGTTCCAGATCGGTTTTCCTTAGCGCTGAATTACGAAGTGGTTGCGAAGTTCAGTTTGACAGTTTTCCTTTGCCTAATGCAATAGCGAGTACTTGTTCAGATAAAACATTTTGTGATCACAGTACTGCCATCTGGGAAGGTAATGATTGAAAAATATGCGTTTGAGTCGGTCAGTTCCATGGTGGAATATCACCTCAACAAGAAGGATTCACTCACAAAGGTGACCACTAGTTGTTTCGCAATGCAGGGAATTGCAACACTAACTCATACAACCTCAAAAGCATCTTTTTGAACCGCATTTGTTTATGTAGGCTCAAGAAATTATATTGCGAAATCCAATTACTCGGCAAAGTTGGGAGTTGTCGCATGACGACGTGGAACTAACTAAGAAACTAGGTTTGGACTGTCTCTATCAGTTTTTGTAAAATTGAAGCTATATGAGTCAATCAATGTACTTATTAAGGCGAAGGAGCCTTCGGTGAAGTACACATGGGGAAGTTAAAATTGAAGTCCGGCGCCAAGGTTACCGTTGCAATTAAGCTCGTACGTTCCTTTGTCAGTTACAATATAAAATGGTCATATTGCAAATGCTTAGGCGAAGCTCGAAGTTTTGACGAAGGAACAGATTAAAGAAATAATGCATGAAGCACGACTGATGAGACATTTCGATCATCCAAATATTGTTAAATTCTACGGTGTGGCGGCTGGCCAAGAGCCTCTGATGGTTATAATGGAACTCGTAAGAGCAACTTTGGCAATATTTTTGGAACTTCATTTGCTTTAAACATATTATGTATCCAGTTTTTCCGTCATCACGCGTGTGAGTGCCCAGTTTTCCTTATCTGCGCGGCCTGCTGCGTGGTTGATGGGATGCCCAAACACGTTTTCTCTCTGTCAATATGTCTGTCAATACATGTGCCAAACGGCTGTACTTCTCGGATAAAGTTGACAACTTTTTTTCTGACTTGCAGACAGCATGCCAAGTGTC